TTGGATGGTTTCTATTTGGCCTTCATTATCTACCTTTTTCCTATTATTTTCTCTTGGCAACGTTATAATATAGTATAGTCATTGGAGAGGATGTTCTAGGTAGAGATTCTCACCTCTTATATTTTTATAATAATGGTTTAAGAAAGATGCTTTTTATTTGCTGGGGTATGTCATTTGAAATCTATTACATATACTGCTCTATGATCTTGGAAAAATGTATTTTATTTTTTGTATTTAGTTATGAAAACCAAAACCCTTGTAGAGTCGATACTGTCTTTTTAAAAATTTCATATGTTTTAAGTGTTTTTGAGGATGTGAACTGGCTTTACTTTGTTTGTTGTTTTTGAAGTTGTTTCCTCTCAAGGATATGATTATGGTTTCAAGAATGTGTCATGTATATGTTACCTAAACCAGTTTTTTGTAATTACAGATCTTTCTCTTAAAATACCATATATTTCGCTATGCTTTAATTGTTTAAGGCCATTAGTTACCTATGCTATATGAAGAATTTAAAAATAATTTTAATTGGCTTCTGATTTTTAAAGTGGGAATCAACCAACTTTAAGAATAATTGTATTGATTGCATTAATGTATATTTGCTTCTGTTTTTAAAATACTCCAGCTAACATTGTATTTACCTGTTTATCTTCTAGGAAAGAAATGTAGAAGCTGTAAGAAATGCAAAAGATGAGCGTGTTCGGGAAATTAGGAATGCGGTGGAGATGATGATTGCACGGTTAGACACGCAGCTGAAGAATAAGCTTATAACATTGATGGGTGAGTGTTTTTGTATGCCTCCTTGAAGTTCAATCTTTGATGAGTAAGGTTGGTGAGTTGGTATAAGGTTAGGAAGGAATCTTGAGATTATAGGCAACTTCATGTTGTTAACATCTCAACAGATGTCTGACTTATACTTGGACATGATTGGAGAGAAAAGTGTTCATAGCCATTTGGGTGAGAATCCTAGTGGCCAGTGGACCTCGTTGTTAGGCAGCTTTTTTCCCCCAAAATCTACTCAAAATTCCTAGTACTAATGTCCTATTTCCTTTCTTTCAGTCCATCTTCATTGAAGATGTAGAACTGACATTTGTAAATATCAGGATAGTTTCTTGCTCTCCCCCAGCTTTTTCATAGAGATGTAAAATTTTGGTTTTTGGTTTCTTGTAGGTCTCATTTTAAATCTTTTAGTTATATTTATTGCTCATCTTATTGGGTCTTCATATTTTCTCATTCTCCTTTCATTGTGGAGGCTAGTATCAAATATAAAGTTTAAGTAGCAGTCTGATCCAACACTTAAGTTTTGTTTGGTTTGGTGACTGTACTCTTAGTCCATCTAGCTTTTTGTTGACTCAAAACCAGCTTTGCAATTTTTATTGTAATCCAATGTGAAATATATGCAGTATACTTTAATAAGGTATGAACAAAGGATTTTTTACTGGCTATCTTGATTCTCCAAGGTTTTAACCATGCCTTTGTCTCACTCAAAATTCTATTTTATCCGTTTTATTTTTAAATAAGATGCAGATATCTTTGAGTTTGGATATTTGTATATTATTTCATGAATTCTTTTTATATTAGAAATCTATACTATCTGTTTTTTAGGGTTTTTCTTACAGACCCAGCAGCAAATGGTCTTTAAAAAATCATTCCTTTAGGGCCGGCCTGGTGGCGCACTGGATAGTGCGCCGCTTGGGAAGTGCGGCGGCGCTCCTGCCCGAGGGTTCGGATCCCACATACAGACCGGTTCCCACTCTCTGGCTGAGCACGGTGCGGGCACAACACCGAGGGTTGCGATCCCATTACCGGTCAGTAAAAAAGAGACAAAAAGGAAAAAAAAAAAAGAAGTAAAAAAACCATTTGCTGCTGGGTCTGTAAAAAAACCCTAAAAAACAGATAGTATAGATTTCTAATATAAAAAGAATTCACGAAATAATATACAAATATCCAAACTCAAAGATATCTGCATCTTATTTAAAAATAAAATGGATAAAATAGAATTGTGAGTGACACAAAGGCATGGTTAAAACCTTGGAGAATCAAGATAGCCAGTAAAAAATCCTTTGTTCATACCTTATTAAAGTATACTGTATATATTTCACACTGGATTACAATAAAAATTGCAAAGCTGGCTTTGAGTCAACAAAAAGCTGGACGGACTAAGAGTACAGTCACCAAACCAAACCAAACCAAACTTAAGTGCTGGATCAGACTGCTACTTAAACTTTATATTTGATACTAGGCTCCACAATGAAAGGAAAATGAGAAAATACGAAGACTCAATGAGATGAGCAATAA